TATATGAATATAAGTTTCTTGGTTTTGACACAGTGAACTATTATGACTGATCTTTCTGTAAATTCTTCATTTTTATTTTGGACAGTTTTTATTGTTATATTCATTTATGTTTGTAAATAATTTATTTTCAATTTGCAATCTATTAAAAAATTAAAATTAAAAAAATCATATGAAGATTTTGAGAAAGGAGGGACAAAATCTAGATCCTATAGGCTGTTATATTGAGACTAGAAGGTAGCAAAGGATTAATTATGTTTTGAAATTATTGTTTATTGTTAACCTTGTTTAAAATAAGGCATTTACATATTTTGGAAACATTTTTGTCTTTGTAAGTATTGTGCAAGGATTATTAATGTTTCATTTATATAATTTTGGTGTATTCATTTTGCTATTATCTTCCTTTTAAACAGAAATATAATTATCTTTACAGGTTCATTGGTACTTGCTTTGCTCTGTTCTGGTATATTTTCTCCTTGGCACATGTGGCAATCTTTGTCACAAGATTTAGCTATGGAGAAGAATTGCAGTCGTTTGTTGGAGCTGTCATTGTTGGTACATACAATGTTGTAGTTGTCATTGTGCTTACGAAGCTGCTGGTAGCAATGCTTCATAAAAGCTTTCAGTTAATAGCAGTAAGTACCTTTTGTCTTAAACTTTTACATTCCATATTAGATATATGCAGTAGGTAAAATAATTGAAGTTTTTAAGAATTAATAAAAATACTCAAAAAATTAAATTTAAAAAATTAAAATTTCCAAAGTGTAATTTATAATTGTGGCAAATAATGAGCAAATTTTTATCTACAAGGTATGAAAGTAGTCATACCTTGTAGTCATACCTTGTAGATGGACAGTATCTGCTCCTGTCCATCCTCTCTGGCCCATCTGCACATGTGTATGCGTGTGTGTATGTGCATCACATGCATGCATGTTCATATTCTGTATTGCTTTCATTTGCCTTTTATAGAATCATGAAGACAAAGAATGGAAATTTGCTCGTGCAAAGCTGTGGCTTAGCTACTTTGATGACAAATGTACGTTACCCCCACCTTTCAACATCATTCCTTCACCAAAGACTATTTGCTATATGATTAGTAGCCTCAGTAAGTGGATTTGCTCTCACACTTCAAAAGGCAAGGTCAAAAGGCAAAATAGTTTAAAGGTAAGAAAGTAGAAGTTTCAGTCACAATATAAAAGTTTTAATAACTAATTTTAGATGTTTCTTAAAGCATAAATATGCAAATTCCTTAAGGGCTATGATATGTTTTTTCACTGTTGTATCCCTAATGCATGGCGTAGTATTTGACATAAAGGAAGGATTCAACAAATATTTGACAGTGAGAGTACTAAAACTTGTTATTTTTTAAATTTCCACAGTTTATTAAATCTAATAGTTTGAAAACATGTAAGATATTTCAGAATACCTATTCTTTCACTGTAGATATATAACTACTTTAGCTGGGCATGATGGTACATGTCTATAATCTCAGCATGTGGGAAAGTGAAGCAGGCAGATCAGTACAAGTTCCAAGCTGACCTGGATTACATAGTCAATTCAAGGCTAGCCTGAACTACACAGCAAGACCCTGTTTCCAAAAAAAAATTTTTTTAATTAAAAAAAGATAAACTGTATCTTGGTTACTTTTCTTAATCCTAGACAAAATACCCACACCCATTAGTTAAGAGAAGAAATGTTTATTTAACTCACAGGTTGTAGACATTTCAGTCCATAATTGGCTGGCACCGAGGCAGGGTGGCACAACAGACAGGCATCACAGAGGAGAAACAGTTCATGGCAAGCAGAAGGTAGCAGAGCAACAAGGGACAGCCACAGCCCTTTCTATCCTGTACATCTTATCTAGGCCACTTAGGGCATGTAGCACCCACACGCTTAATCCTGGTGCCCTTTTTTTTTTTAATAATTTTATTGAGAAACAAATAGCATTGAGACAGTTTCAAAACCAATCAGTAGGACAGTTTCAATAATAAATACATTGCACATTGTTGTCTCTGGTTATTTATTGTACAAGATGCAGACATGACATCCCATCCACAAACACTATTAGAACAAATACTCTTATTCAATTAAGAGAATGTAGCTGTATATCCTAATTATTTTGAATATACAGATACAAAATGGTCATTCCTTTGTATCCCCTTTTTTTGTTTAGTTTTGCCAGAGAAGGGTATTCCATTGTCATTTAAATATTGTAGGTGCTTGAATTCCACAAAATATTCCAATATAGTCTAGTAGTCCATAATAGTAGTGAGTCATCCGCAGGACTAGCAATGTCAGAAGTTGTTGACCTGAGCCCTTTACAGCCCAGTATACCAACATAGCTTCACCCATTATACCTCGTTTTTACACTTTTCTGCTGGATGGTTAAGACCAAGATAGAGCAAGACCTATATAACAAGAAATGTAACTTTGGTATCTGATAAGGTCAGTCAAGTCCCCTCAGAATTTATCCTGAAACCCTGTAGCACACTTTGTAGATCCTTTTTCAGTGTCAGCCATGTGGATGAGTCACAGCCATTGCTTGATCAATTTGCTCTCTGTGAAAGCCTGAGAGAATGTTTTCTCTCCATGTGACTCTCCTTAGGCACACTCTACATCATCGATCACATTCCTCTGTGACCCCATAATCTCCTTGATCAGAAAATTTGGGACACAACTGAGTTACATGATGTTACAGTATAGGTTCTTCTGTGTCCTGAGTCTTCACTGACCTTGAAAGGCTAGGGCCAAAATGTTGATTGACCTTGCAGCCCTTCTGGTCCTGGTGCCCTTGATCCTGGCTTTGCACCATGAACTTACCCTAGCATCACAAACTCTAGAACCAGACACCTCTGAAAAAGCCCCTCCTATGACTGCATGAAGCTCAGGAAGGACATCTAAATGCAGCCGTACCAACTTGAATCTGCTCTTTTGTAATTATTATTCTTGAAAAGTATTCAGTATATCAGTAATTCAGTGTATGTTGCTTATCCATAAAACAAGAAATTCAATCCAGACTTCCTGTAAAAAGGCCAGAGAGTAAATATTGCACACTTTGCAGTCTGGGAGAAAGTAGAGATACAGAGTGAGCAATGATAATAATAAAAAGAAGAAAAATTTTAGTTTTCAACTCTTATTGATCACATTGAAAACACAAAATATAGTAATTGTATCAAAATCTTTATAACACAAGTGTACAGGTCGAAAGAAAAGAATTTCTTGTTTTATAGATAAAGTTTTGCTTAATTAGGCCTTCAAATTAGAGGGTAGCCTGCCGTAAAATTTATTGCAGATGTTCATTTGTAAAAAGCAGCCTTAGTTAGCAGGCTATTACAAAAAATAAAAAGTGGGTCATATTGCCCTATAGGTCATAGTTAGTTAAACATTGCTATAGAGTAAAGAGTCCTAAGACTAGTTTTTTAAACATGAAGATAAGCTAAAAGGAAAATGAATAAAACAAATTTGTTGGCTATCTAAAACAAGTGTTAAATGTTATTTTCAGTCACATTTGTGGCAAAACGATTGTCCAATAAGCATTAAAAAATGTGTTTGTGTCTATGAATATTTTAAAAATCTGCCTCACTTAAATATTGTATCTGTGACAGGGATGTAGCTTACTGGGAGAGTGCTTGCCTAGCATGCATAGAGCCCTAGGCTTCATCCTCAGCACTGGAGAAGTGGGGGATATACACATGCATCATCTTTGTATATCCTTAGTATCTTCCTGTTACTTGTTCTGAAGGAATGGAGAAATTTGAAGCAGAAGAGAGATGAAAACTACCAAAAAGTGATGTGCTGCCTAGTGCATCGTTACTTGACCTCCATGAGACAGAAGATGCAAAGCACGGATCAGGCAACTGTGGAAAATCTAAATGAACTGCGCCAAGATTTATCAAAGTTCCGAAATGAAATAAGAGATTTGCTTGGCTTTCGGACTTCCAAATATGCTATGTTTTACCCAAGAAATTAACCATTTTCTAAATCTTAGAGAAAATAATTTTCAATATCAAATCTGAAAGACTTTATTTACATAACTTGCAGTTAAACCAATAATATATATAAATAATTATGTAAAAGCCATTCTTTAAAATATTTATATCATAAAAATGTAATATATGTATATAGAATTAGTTTTTTAAAACTTGTCAATGACTTTTTACAAAATAGGTTAAGTAGATAGGGTTTTTTTGTTGGCATGATGCTTTGTTTTCTTAATTGAACAGTGCTTTAAAATGTTTTTCTTTTATGTTAAAGAGGAGCAGTTATAATTGTACACATTATTTAGCAAGTTTTTTAAAATGAAAAACAGCAAATGTGGGCTCATCTTCTGACCATAGAATACAGTTGAAACATAGAAGTCATGGTTTTTAAAATGTTTTAGGAGTTTAGGAGTTCATATATTAGTATTTATTATTCAGGAGTATAGTTTTATTTAAAATCATAGTCTATTTTTTCTTTCTCGTTTTGTTATATCCTTCAGCAACAACGGGGAAGTCTAATGAATATTTGAATCTGTCTCTCAGTGTAAATTCACTTTGTTTTTTGTTATTGTAATATATTTACTTTTACATTGTTATAATCATTTTATACTTTAAATTTTTTTCACTTAACAGTATTTTATATACATGTATATTTCCATATGTTGGTGTACTCCATGTATTTAAATTTTATAAAATTACATAGTTTTTGAAAAATATAGTCAGTAGATTTTTATTTTATAGCTATAGAATATTTGTTTCTGAGTCTGCATAGTTACTTCTCTAGGCATTTCGTTGCTTTTCAAAGTTTTACTTTTCTAAATAGCACTATTAAGTTTTCCAAGTTGGAATGAATATATGTAATTATGAAATAGAATATGCTTCTGTATGATGTGTGATCACAGTCTGTTTTGGTCTTGGAAAACACTGACAGACCCCTTAGGAAGGATTTGTTTTTATTTATATTTATATTGGAATTAAGGTTCTTGAGCTTATCTCCCGAAGTATTTTCCACAGAAATTAATGTAACTTCTATAAAAGTGATTTCATGCTTATTTGAGGATCATCCTCACTACTTAAAATGAAAAGCATTTTTTTTTAATTTGAGAATAAAATATCCATTTAATTTTTTTTCTGTATTCATCTAAGGGATATAGCTAAAATTTTCACTATTATATATTCTTGCAACATTTCTAGTTAAGAAGGAATTTGGTATAAAATTATCTTCTTAACTGAATGTCAGATGGTCTTAAGGCCACAGGGTGCAGGTAGCCCTTGGTCTATAAGTACCACCAGTCCAGGGATCATTGTCTAAATATGTTAATATTATGTTTTGTCTTGCTTTTTAATTTTATTTTTTTAATTTCCAGATTTTTAGTGTTCCCTCTTTTGGGAAAATTCTTATAAAAATGTTTATTGTAAAGTTATATATTTTGTCTACACTGGAATTATGCATTTCCTGATTGGGATTTTACATCAGGATTTTTAGTCATTCTAAAAAAAAACCTAACTATTAAAATATTTATAGAGTGCCTATAATATGCATGAGTTACCTTTCAGGTATATTTTGAATGACAGTATATTGTAAGAAAAAAGATGAATAAAACTTGACATTAGATTATAAATTGACATTGTGTGTCCATTGTGTTATACATCTTTAAAAGTTGAGATATAATTCACATACTATAAAATCCATTGACAATGTAAAACTAATTGGTATTTTTAAACTTATAGCAAACAAAATGCAAAACATTATCAGACTCCCTTTGTATGCCTTTCTATTTCCAGTGGCAATCACTTTTAACTCGGCTGTTTCCTCTTAGATTTATAAATACTTGCATTTTGAAGTCCCTCATAAAGATTTATATATAAATGTTCATAAAAGCTTTATTCATGGTCCCATACTGAAAACAACTAAATGTACATTAAATAGTGAATGGATAAGTAAATTGTACATTCCTACAGTGGAAATCTGCTTGGCAGTAAAAAGCAATCATATCAGAGTTGAATCAGAAGCAGAGCTTTCAGGATATTTGCAGGTGCATGTGTGTGTGTGCATGTAGTGTTGTATTTATAGTTGTAGTGTTGTATTACATAGTTGTTGAAGTTGGTAAGCAGTCTGCAAAGATATTACTTTTCCATCTAATGTTGGAGCTCAAAGTGCATAGGGAAAGCGGGTGAGAACAAAAGGCAGGTGTAGAAGAGAGCAACAGCATGATGGATTGGGGCCCATGGCACTTACCGTCTCCAGCCCCATGATGCGGTATCCTGTTGCCCATTGCTGCTTGTCTTTCGAAGTGTGCTGCTAAAAACACAGCTGGCCCTGGAATCAGAGAAGCAGAGGATCCAAGGAAAGGTGGAACAGATGCTGCCCAAGTCATCAAAGTGAACCAGCAGATGTGTTACAAAAAGTGCAAGTTTACCAAATCGCCTACATAAAACAATAGTTGCTACTTTACTTCTGCTCTATATCTCAACACTAAATTGTCTCTTGTACTGTGCCTCAACTAGAAGCATACAGGGAAGTAAATTCTGGCAAACACAATTTTAACCTTTAGCCCTGAAATCTGATGTATTATACTTTGTTTCAAAAGTGAATAGAAACCTTCTACACCACCCCACTGAAGACCAATATATTTGTTCATTTAGAATTGTGTTCAGATTTCATTTCATTCAGATTAACACTTTTTGTAAATGTAAATAGATGTTTTTGTTAATTGGTTGAGAGATACACATACCCAACTAGTAATCATTGATGGTCCTTCATGAAAAGTGATAAAATTGGGACTGTCCTTGATCTCATTATTAATACTCTATCTCTTCTTGATAAGCAGAACTTTTTTACTGTTTAGATCACTGATGCTGAACTTTTATTTATTTATTTTGTATTTTAGGGAAGGGTTTACAGGGTGTTCAGGATCTTACTACTAGATCAGACTCGTAGTGATCCGTCTGTTCACAGCCTCCCAAGAGCTAAGATTACAGGTGCGCACCACCACGCCCAGTCTCAATTGCCATCTCAGCGTGACCCAGGGGAAGGTCCGGCACAGCAGGCCCAGGGATTGAACCCCCGGCTCCTGAACCTGCTTGCAGGCGCTTTAATCTGCTGAGCTATTTGGCTGACCCTATGCCAAACTTTCAGAGCTTTGGATGAGATCAGCCACTTGTGGCAAACATGCCATAGGTTCATTACTACTGCTTTAGACTATTATTTTCTTTAGAAAAGACACTTATGAAATATAAAGTAGTCTGAGGTTATAGGCTCTAGAGAGCCTAATTAGGTCTAATTATTTAGAATTACACTAAGAAAATACTAATAGTGTTACAGTTTGTGTCTAGTCCTGCCCAAAGCCTCATGCTGTCATAGGTGGGGCTTTTTCACAGGTGGCTGAATTTAGAATGTGATGCTAGGATTAAAGATGTGTGATTGCTAAGTCAGTCCACTGAGTCTTTTGGCACTGCCCTAGTGCCAGTACCCTGGATAGAGTGGAAGTGGGACAGAAGAAAGCTGCTGAACCGTTGCTCCCTTTGCTGGCGTCTACTCGCCACAAACAATTTCTCTCCTGTAATGGCCATCTGCCACACCACCCTGCCTTGGAGTCAGCTGATTATGGACTGGAACTTCTATAACCTGTGAGCTAAAAAACCTTTCTTCCTTGAACTTTGGGTGTTGGGTATTTAGTCTCAGTGATGAGAAAATAAAATAATCAGGGATAGTGTTGGACTGAATTTCTCATCTGGACATTAATTTGTTAGCATTCTTCATTGTAATTATACTGTGTTTTGGGATGATATACTTAGAAGGATTTTCCATTTCAGTGTTTCTCTTTCATTTGGTAATTCCATATTTTCACTGTCTTTCCCCTTCTTACATTTTGAAATAGACACTTCAGTTATGCCATGCAGAAGTTAGGAAACATTTTATGCACTAATTATGTACTTTAAAAATATCTTTAAGAGACAATTTTTTAAAGTCAGATTTTATTGGTACATTTTAGGTATACATGGTGATCACATTAATCATAGAGAATTTGTACCTGTACGTGACATAACTTGATTCCCATTCCTTTATCTTCCCTTTAACTCCTCCCCTCCTCATTTACAAAGCTTTTTTCCCCCAATTTTTCCTTCTTTTCCCAGTTTTTTACCTTTCTATCCCATGCTTTGAACATTTGAACATTTTCTTCCTGTTTCACAATACCTATTATACATTTTTCATATACTTATTTGCCATTTCTATTTCTTCATCTGAGAAGTATCTTTTCATTTCAGATGCCCATTTTTGTATTGGGTCTTCAAATTTCAGGGGTCTGAGATATATATATATATATATATATATATATATATATATATATATTCTAGATAGTGGTCTTTTGTCTAAAGAACAGCTGGCAATTTTTTTTCCCACACTGGGTTTACTCTTCACTCTGTTGGTGGTTTCTCTTGCAAAATCTTCTTAGTCTCTATTGCTTTAATTTCTGCTCTGATTTTTATAATTTTCCCCCTTGCGTGAGCTTTGGGCTTGGCCTGCTCTTGCTTTTCTAGAAGGCTGAGGCTCAATAATAAGTTGTTTATTTGAGCTTGCTCTGTTTTCCTAATATAAGTATTCACTGCTACAAATTTCCCTGATAGGACAGTTTTCATTGTGTCCCATAAACTCTGCAATGTTGTATTGGCATTGTTGTTTAACTGAAGAAACTGTCTAATTTCTTCTTTAATTTCATCTGTGACCCATTGGTCCTTCAGAAAGCTATTTATTTAATTTCCATGTGTTTATAATGTTATGGTTTCTTTAGCTATCAGTTTCCACTTTCATTGCACTATGATCTGATAACATTGATGGTATAATTTCAATTCCTTTGCATTTACTTATGTTTTTTTTCTCTCATATATTTAGTACAGGGTTTACAGGGTCTCACTACATAGAACAGACTCGTAGTGATCCTCCTGTTTTCAGCCTCCCAAACTCTGGGATTATAGGCATGAGCCACCATGCCCAGTCTCAGTTGCTGGCTCAGCAAGCCCTGGGGTAGGGGCTGCCACGGCACACTGGGGATCAAACTCCAGCCACTGTGCTTTGCCTAAGCAGGTGCTTTAGTCCACTGAGCTATCTGGCTGGCCCAACTTAAGCATGTTCTGTGTGCTAGTACGTGGCCTATTTTGGAGACTGTCTCATGTACAACTAAGAAAAATGTGTATTCTGATGTTGTGGGGTGGAACACTATGTATATGTAGACATCAGCTAAGCCCATTAGTTCAAAAGTTTGGGTCAGTTCTAATATTTCATTGTTGATTTTTGTTTGTTTGTGTGTGTAGTTGATCTGTCTTATTTGTGGAATATTGAGATCTCCCAATACAACTGTATTATTGCTTATTTGGTTTTTCATTTCCATTAATACTTGTTTTATATAGTTGGATGCACTGATATTTTACGTATATATAATTGTTATGTCTTCTGCTTGGATTGTTCCTTTATAAGGATGTAGTGAGCTTCTTTGTCTCTTAGTCTTGGGGTGAAGTTCACTTTGTCTCCAAATAGAATAGCTGCCTTGCTTTTTTTGGGTTCCTATCCCATAGGGTATTGTTTTCCATCCTTTGACTTTCAGTCTATGCATTTCTTTTTGAATTAAATGTTTCTTGTATGCTGAATATTGAATCTTGCATCTTGATCCACTCTGCCAGTCTGTATTTTTTTTAATTGGTGAACTTCAGATACACAAATTTAAGATTAAATATTATTTAAGACTTTAAAAAGGAAAGTCTTGCCAGCCCTTTTAAAAAAGCATTTTTATTGGTACACTTTTGATATACATAATTATCACATTCATTATACAGAACTTATTCCTATGCATATTATATCTTGTTTGTTTTTTCCCATTTCCCTTCCTTCCCTTTAATCCTTCCTCCCTTCTTCCTTTACAAAAGTTTGTTTATATTGTTTTCCTTCCATTCTTTTTAATGTTTTTATCCTTACTCCCTGCTTGCCCTTCTGCCCTTTCCTGTTCCCCTTCCAATTTGAACACTTGCTTTTTATTTTCCAATACCTATCATCCATGTAGGTCCTTATTTATCCTGTGGGTTTCTCATATAGGAGAAATAATATGACACTTAAACATTTATGTCAAATTTATTTCAATTAGAAGTATTGTCTCTAGGTGCATCCATTTACTTGAAAATGACTCCAGTTTGTCCTACTTCATGTCAGAGTAGTATCCTATTGTACATAAAAACCATATCTTCCTTATCCATTCATCTATTGATGGGCATCTGGGCTGTTTCCAAGATTTAGCCAAAAGAAATTATGCTGCTGTACATATGGGTAAGCATCTATTGTGGCAATATGATGCTTTAGGTCTTTATTTTTTTCAAGCATGGCTTTATTATTACACATTGCTCTCCTCAGTGTAGTTGCTTAGTTCACAGATACGAGCATATAGACTTAGTCAGGGTGAGAATTTTACTGGTATTTTCAAAAACCTGATGGAAATTCTTAGGACCATTGCCTTAACCATCTTGTTTACATAAATGTATGGTTTTGCCCCCACCATATTTCCTAACTTTTCTCCTTTCTCTCCCTCTGTTGTTGAATCCTGAAGTTCTCTGTTTCCATTTAACTGTGCTATAC